TGACAGATTTAAAGACCAGAACCTCAGTCATAGTCATAGTCTAAAACACTTGGCTTTCAATAGCTTCTCAATAATGGTATTTATATTCTCTTTGGTTTTAATATTAGGTTTAATATTAGGACAGAAAAAATATGACTAGTATATCTAGTAAAGTTACAAACCTTACTTTACAGTATAAAATATGTATTTGAACATAATTTACAATTTATATGAAAAACCAATTGCATTACATTATGGCTTTCAAAATCAGGAGAATTGGCATTTAATTTTTTCCCATTGTTTTTATAGGATGATTGGCCAAAACTTTACGTTAGAATTAAACACACACACACACACACACACACACACACAGAATAAATGTGGGTACAAACCACTCTGGGATCACTGTAGAACCCTTGGACAAATGTCAGGCCTAAAACCCTAAAATTCTTCACATAGTACCCAACAAGCAGACTCTGTCAATCAATGATAGAGTCTAACTCATGATAGGCTAACTAAATCCATCCGCAAGAATGACTATCAAAAGGCAGAGGTCCCAGTTGCCAGCATTGCTCGAGGGCAACTTTACCAAATGATGACACTGTGACATGCCATGCAACTCTATTTGCAGGTAGGAGGAGAGGAAGAGCGTAGAGAAAAAGTTATCCACCAGCTGCTGCTCATTCCCCTACCATTTTGACATTAATAGGTATAAAAAAGAGCAAGCTCCCTCAATACCCTTTTTTTTCTGCTAATGATATGGCTGTTTTAGATTCAAAAAGCATCTGTGTTTAATAAAGATAGGTCATTTATTCAAAGACCACTTAAATTATTTTAGTAAATGGCAGAACTCTACCTTATATTTAAATGTTGGAACTAAACAAAAGTACATTAATTATCCTAAGTGTCCAATGTTCCACCACTAATAATTATCATCTTATCAAGTTATAATATGTGTTAAAAGTTAGTGTTAAATTATCAAAATCAATTTTTACTTAAAAATGACTTCCCTTAAGAGTTTTATACAAATGAAAAATGTTTCATTTTATTTGTATTAATTCTATTAGCTTTTTTCAGCGTGGTGACCCATAATTTTAGATCTATCCCACAATATACCCAGGTGATGCTGATGCCGAGTGCAGGGATTCTACTTCAGAACCCCGATCTAGCTTTTGTTTGAATACTTCCAATGATTTTATGAGGACAAAGCCAGCCACTTTTCATTTAGAAATCCACATAAGGAACATGAAATACAGAACCAGAAACTTTCATTTCTTACAATTAATTTTTCCATCAATAACAACACAGAGTAATCCTATTCCTTCTTACATATGGCAGTCACTCAAATCTTCTCCAAAATAAACATCGCCAATTTCCTGGACTGCATCCCACTTACCACACCACTCACGCCTTTCGCATTCTGGTTGTCTCCCTGTGAACATTTAACTCATAATGTCCCTCTAAACATGTGGCACATACAATTTAACAAATAATGTAAACGTTTTAGTCTAAATATCAGAGTACATTTGGTTTATTACATCTCTGAATCAGTAATAGTTTTATAACTATATTAGGTCTTTCAGCAATTATATCACCGCACTTCCCAACTGCCAATCTATGGACTGATACTTGAAGTTTTCAGTGATCTAGAGTAAATGAGAAAAGAACAGTGTAATAATTCTTCCATCGACTTAAAATTTTTCAGGTTAAATAACTTTAATTCTGAGTTTACGTCCTTCCTAAATATTGGGGAAAGGGAAAGGTGTAAAGTGATGGTGATAGAAGTCTTTACATGGCAAAAACAAAGTCTCACATTTCACAATCTCTCTTAAATTATTGGTCTAGTGTCCTAAAATACTCAGGTAAAAAGGTCCATCTGATCCATTCTTTTTTGTTTTTTAATCCATTCTTTACTACCATCTAGGTAGTTAAGTGCTTGGAAAAATTTATATAATTTGCAACAACCAATCACAACCCCCACTCATGACACAATTTATGGCAGCTAAGCAAAGCTCCAGTGGGCTCCAGCAAATAAAAGGGCTTCGAAGTGTTTTTAACACAAGTTCCTATTTTCCCTTACCCACTTCCCACTTACCTTTATAATCCTAAATAACACTCAAAACCAGCAAACTAAACTACATCAAATTAAGAGAGGGTTGGGATGATACAACCATTTGTTGCAGTTTAAATTACTAGCCAATAATTTGAACTGCAAGTGAACTACACCATCTAGGGCAGGGGACAGCAAACTACCAGCCACGGACCAAATCCAGCTCAGTGTCTTTTGGGTTTAGTGGAACACATTGTCTATGGCTGCTTTTGTACTACAATAACAAAGGTAAATAAATAAAACAGAGATCATTTGGCCTGCAAAACCAAAATATTTACTATGTAACCCTTTACCAAAAGCATTTGCCAACCTCTACTCTAGGGTAATGAACTATTTGCTACCAAAGAAAATTTTTGAGACCTACAACAATAACCGTTAATCAACTCCGGGTGCCTGTACCATTCATATTAAAATATCTAAATATAAACACTGGACTATCTGAATAGTCCTTTATCCTACTCTGTATAAAGACTTGTTGCCCACCCAAAATGAAGAATTTACTTACCTGCTCACTGAGCTAATCTTTAACATACATTTCTCAAGAACTCACTAGTGAAATAGTGAAGAATCCATGAATACACTGCTCTGTGTAATCTAAGGTTTAAAAAAAAAGTTGCAAATAACTCAAAGTAAAAATAAAGAAGAAACTATATAAAACTACATAATAATTTCATTTACATTTTAGATTTGCAAATACAAAACACTGCTAAAGGCACTTAAAGTAGAAAAGCTTAAGTTCAACAATTTAGGTAATCTTAACCACATTAAATAATACATATTAATTTTCCTTTTCTATTAAAAATGACTTTCATTTTCATGTATGTAGAGTTAGAAGAAAAAAATAATACTTCTAATCTAATTCAATCATGTAGCTTTAAACATATGTGACACCAGAATCTCTAAAGAGTAAAATCACATTAAAGTATTTTAAAACTGGAAAGTGCTTAAGAGATTACTTCCACGTTTTACAGGTGAGAAAGTTTTGATACAACATGAAATATCTATGGTGAGAGAATTAATTGGTAGCAGAGGCAGAGCTAGAACCGAACACTCAACTATCAGCTTGGGACTCTTTCTAGTTAATGACTGAGCATGAAAGACAAGCTCATATTCTAGGAAAGGGATGATGTTGAAATATTCTAGAGTTTTAAATGTACAGTAAACATACTAATAAGGCTACTGCCCACTCAACCTAGCAACCCTCTTGTGTTTTTTATTAAACAATCAACTATAACATTACAGAAGGAAAAAACTGATTCATTGTAAAGCCATTCATTAATTAGAATGATCAAAAGAACAAATATTTGCTTAACAAACTGTCAAAGATTTAAAAAATAAAAATCAATAGTCAAGAAGAGCAGTATGAGTATTCCTATATTGCTAATTTGGCACAAATTTTCTGAAGGGTAATTTGATCATATTTTAAAGAGCCTAAAAAAGTTCTCAGCATCTAAACCAATTATCCCATTTCCATGAATATACCCTAAAGAACTAGTCTAATACAGAGTTCAAATTTCACATACAAAGATGTCCATCTGCAATTATTTATAATTTTGAAATATTAGAAACAATCTAATATTCAAGGAGAGAATGGGTTCAATTATGGTATATTCATATAACAGAATATTAGGCAGTCATTTTTTAAAAATCACATTTTTAAAGATATGGGGAAGGACTTATAATCTTAAGTTAGAAAAGTAGGATACAACTATATGGTCAGTATAATCTCAATATTGTTATTATGCACACACACAATCACATGTACACACTCATACATATAAATAGCATAGACAAAGACAAAGAAAATACAAAAAAATTAATAGTATTATCTCTGGATAGTGAAATTGCAGACAATTTTTTCTCTTCTTTATACTTTTCAGTATTTTCTAAATTTTCCATAGTCATGTATTAGTTTTATACTCAGAAAACATTAAAAATTCATTCCATAGTCAATTCTGAAAATTTTACATTCTATATAGTAAATAAGGAATAAATATTTATAGCACTTAAAAATGTATCTAAATTATGGGAAATAAATCAATAATATGTTAGAGTATAATTTCCACATATGTTTAGGTGGGTAATTTTGAATCCAAAAGCAGCATTATTTTATCTCAATTTTTGTGTATAGAAAGTTGATATTTAGTAAATAAGAAATGCAATTTTTAAATAAAATTGGTGCAAGGCATCTAAAAATTGTGCTATTCTGGTATATCATTGAAGATATAAATGTTCCCCAATGTAATGAAGATACCCACTGTTAGATTAAAATAGGTATAATCTAGTACATGCATGGTGGCCAATAATTACCTAACTGAATACATTTTTTTTCCAATGTGATTAGAATTGGTCTATGCTAAAGGAAGAAATACAACACCATACCATTATTTTAGTTGGAAGAGCCGCACCAAAAGTCATGAAAAAATATTTTAGAACTATAAAAAAATCCAGTGGCTTTTTGTTGTTATTGTTAATGATGTCTTGCTAAAAATTCAAGTCAAAGTGCTTAAAGCACTTAAAAAGCATAGCAGCAGTCTATGGTCTGCAATGATTTAAAAAACTCTAAGAATACTCTTCAATGTTTCCTCATTTGCAGACTACTGCCTATCAAACACTATCTTTAGAGGAAAGGACTACATCTATGTTCTTTTATCAATCTTGAATATACAATATAGTAATGACACAAAGTGATGTCACACACAAAAAAAATTATGTAATTTAAAAAGCTAGCTTTAAAATATGATTCTAATATCTGTGATAAAAAATCACATATATATGCAAAATATAAAATACATCCTAACATATTTTTATATAAGAACTGAAGTTTACCACTTTTAACATAAAAATTGAGATGAATTAATAAAAAACAATTTTCATATATACCACAGAGCAATAAGTTTAAATCAGACTATTTTGAGTTGTGTAGCCCTTTATTAGCAACTAAAATAGAAGGTATCTGTTGTACAACACGGGTAGTAATTGACTATAACTGGAGAATTATTATATTCTAATACAGATCATTTATAAATGCAATTTCTTTATTAAAAAGCTTCCACCTTTTTTGTCTGTGTACAATTTGCAAAACTATTCTGAAAGCGGAATATATGTGCACAAGTCTGCAAAGAGTGCAAATTTAGAATATGGTAAATGCTTTACAAGTTACTTTCAAAACACTGCCACAACTGGGCCATTACATTGCCATCTTCTTTGATCAAAATATTTGATGCCAGCCTTCCTTCCACTGCCCTAAACTATAAAGCATTTTTTAATGAGTTGAAATTAAGGAAGGACTACACCTACTAGAAAAGAAGAGAAGAAAGTTCTATTTGTTTGAGGTTTCAGAATCCCCCCAAACCAGGATCTGGGTCTTGGTAAGGGCTAGGCTGGGACCCCGAACAGAGTATGAGTATGTGCAGGTGGCATCCCTGAGGATTCAGAGCGTCAGTGGACCGTCAGTGCTCCAGCAGCGTAACTCACTGAACTGTCTTGCCAGTTTCTGCACTGGCTTGACTGAGCATAATTCAAAAAGGAAAAGCTCATATTCATTCCATTCTTCTGGAGCTCTGTAATAGCCTAAAAAAAGAAAGATGTGATTAGCATTCTTTGAATGCGTTGGTGGCTTAACTTGGCTCACTTCACAGCTGGTGGCTAGATCTCTTTCACTCGTCACTTGTTTCTTTAATTTCTCTTCAACTCATGTTAAATAGGAATAAATGATAATTCCTAATTTAATTCTATCAAAGTACTTCTTTGATAAGACCACTTAAAAACAAAAGCAAATTAATTCATAGCATCTTTCTCTCTTTTCTCTAAACCAAATCTTAGCTACTCTACTATCTTGAATTGTTGCAGTCTTTTCTTTGTCTGACTCTGGCTAAGGTTAAAATGTATATAAATTAAGTTTCAAGAGGTATACCAGGATTTTTACTTTAATTGAGCCTATTATTACTTCGTCCTCCTCCCATTCCTAAGTATACACTCCCTTCTTTCTTAAAAGTCTTGCATTTTATTTCAGAAAATCCATATTGTTTTATTTATTAGGGAAAATATTAAAGTTATTCTCTCTTTCAAAATTCCAGCTACCCAAGATTTCTGGTGCTCACTTCGGCAGCCCGGACACTAACACTGGAACAATACAGAGAAGATTAATTAGCATGGCCCCTGCGCAAGGATGACACGCACATTCGTGAAGCGTTCCATATTTTAGAAAAAAGATTTCCACCTATTACCTCCATTCCTTAAATGGATTACTACTGTTTTTCTTGTAAAGAGAAAAATATATACATGTCATCTGTCTTGCTTTATTAACTTACACATTTCTAAAGTTCAAGAGCAAAATCTTCTATTTATTTTTATATAGTCTAGGACACTAAACAAAACCAAGAAATCAATAAGAACATCTGTTGAAAGGTTACTTTGGTTTATATTTATAAAAAGCATACTGGAATTGGCTGAGAATCTAGAGAAAATGGGTCTGCATTCTAAATAATCTCTGCATTTAAAAGAAAATACCAGCTTGTCTTCCAGTGACATATAACTTTATTCAGGTAGCCAGAACAATGGAAATCCAAATTATCTTAAATGTACTAAAAGAAAATTGACTATATGTACCGAAAACCTATGCTACTCAGTTACCTTAAGAATTGAAGATATTTTAAAACATCATAGGCTCAAATATTAAAAATCAAGGCTTCTTAAGGATACTCACATTTAATAACACTCCGATGGGATGTCTTCCACATATAGTATTATGGTATTTCTTCAAGTAATTACTAAAAGATACAGGATCTAATTGTTCTATAATACTCATACCCTAAAAGTAAGTGAGAGGGGGAGAGAAAGAGACAAAGAAAATGAAAGAAAAAGGAAAAAAAGACACTATTATTTACCAGTTACATTTAAAACAAACTGTTACTTAGAGCTAAACACTGTAATTTTTTAATTAAAGAGAAGTAAATAGACTACATTAAATAAACCTTGTAAAATACCAAACTCATCTGTCCAAAGCTAATCTCATAGTCAACTCTCCATAATACATACACTTTATTAACAGAAAACTTTTAACCCCCATTTAGTTTTCTCTGATCTCCTCATATATTTCTACACCATCTTCACCAGTTGCTACTTAGCTGATAATCGTTGAGCATTTCATAATTTTATATTTTTATATATTTTTAAGCAAATCTATTGTGAAAATTTTCATAAAATTAAATTTGATATACACCTGTTTTTCCCAATATCCACTATATTTCTCCTACCATTGTCATAATCAAGAGTTGGTTGTAACTTAACTATTTCCATAACTAAACTTAAAGACATTTTAAATCATCAGTATTCTGGGTATGTGATAGAGAAGATACTACAAACTAAAGAAAAAAATAGTTTGCATATTTTTAATTAATTTAAAGTGCATAAAAGATTAATAAAAGGTTAACAAAGTAGGTCATTTAAGAACAAATTTTTAAAAAGAAAAGCTTTTTATTTCTTTAATACTTTAAACTAGGATGCTTTATTTTCAAGATTTTTTGAGAATCAATGTTTGCTAGTAGACTATTATTAGAACAATCACTATGACTCGGACACTTGTTTACACTAAATTCTGTATTCTGCAAATGCATTCAAATAATATGTTCATAATACATTAATAAATACATAAGGGCAACTTAAACTCATCTGAATCAGGCAAATAAATTAATGATTCTAACTCATCACCTTACCTTATTTTCTTATTCTGGTAAAACACATTTGTGTTCAATAAACTGGATTAATATCCTTCAGGAGAAATGTAAATGGTAGTTTAACTAGGGAATTAACTAATATATTTTGTGTGGTTTTAAAATTATGTTTCAACAAAATAAGTAATGTGTAAAAAGCACCTGAAGTAATCAGATGAACAGTCATCTGAAAAATGATAGTAATCATAGATGATATACAAATATTGCAGTGGCAGCACCAAAATTTAATTAATAAAGAATCTTTTTACACAATATTTAAGTCCTTCATAAACATTATTACATTCTGCTGCAACTATAGCTAAAAGACAGGCATATGCATGTATAATCAACTTTAACTTTAAATTATCTGCATATCAATTAGCCACTCTCAAGACTTATCCACAACCAGTGATTAATGCTAAGTTGGTTTTCCCCTGCCAACTACAAGGCTACCACATCAACCGCCTCCACTGACTTTGGTGTAAGCTCAGAGACAGATGAACTACCTTAGAAGATAAACAATTAGTATTTTAATTCTGGTGCAAAGAAAAATCACACAATATATTTCTAAACCAAGCAGAGATGAAGTAACAACTCTTTTCCATAAATACAGATAATCAAGATATAACTCCCTAACGATGAAGAAACAGACAGGAAGAAGGTTAAAAGCTTGCCTCTAACTTTCTAACCCTAGGCTCTTTCTCATTGACTACTCTGCCTTACGTCGTATAACAAAGACATACCAACAATGCACATTTTTGAACAAACATATGAAATGTATATATTGACATGAGGGATTCAAAGAGAAGGAAAATAATGATCCCACTTTAGAAGAAAATAATTCAGTGAAACTGACCAAGAAATTTCATATAGAAAGAGATAAAGTTATAAATTTAGAAGACGTTACTAAATAAAATGTTCAAAATGAAGATACTGGTTATATTACAACAACAACAAAAAACCCTGATGATGGAATATAAGGAATTTAAAATTTTAATTCCCAAAAGTGTGTTATGTACCTACTAGGGCAAGAATCAATTTCATTACATTCAATTCTCTGATGAATATGATAGTTAAGAGGTATGCCTTTTAATAAAAGAGGGACAGAGAGAAAAGTTAAGGCTTTACAATTGAAAAATTCATGAAGTTCACAAACAGCAATAATGATAAAATTGCAAAATGGGACATTCATTAAGTAATACAGAAGACTGGCAAATATGCTTTAGTATATGTTTATGTTTTGATGCTAACAATTTTGAAATTACTATTACCAAAATTCCAAGATGATGAAAAATAAAATGCTTCTCAAATATGCTTAATTAACTTCTCCATTTCTTAAAATACTGGAAGATATGATCAGTGAATCTAAGGTCCAGGCACTGGAAAGCTTGCCTATAGCTTAGTAAACCGAATATTTGTTCACATGAATTGAATCTAATATGGAGCAGTGAAGTGGGTCACTACCCATTCAGTTCTAAGATACAAACCAGATGTTATAAACACCAAAAGTCTATCCATCAAGACTGGAGTTCTGAGGAAGTTAGTACCTTCAGCAAGAAATTCTCAGATTGAAAGCTAAGTCTCTACTTTGAGGGGTAGAAGGGCAGAGGGTATCAATCATTGTCCGCACTCTCCCAGTAAAGGGTGAAAGCTTGCAATCAAATCCCAATGGCAGTCCTAACCTAAATAGGCAGTTTTAACAGACAGAACTGCAGATTCAGGACTCTGGTACAATAACAAAAAACTCCCTTTTGAAAAAAGTTTATCTATATATAATAAAATACTTAAATTTTATTTAATTATTATCTCCCAGAAGTAATCTCCCTCTAAAATAACAAACACAAAGAGTAGCTAAACTTTTTAAGAGGTCTTTAAGAAATAAAAACTAGAATCATGTCTTCTAATTATGAACACATAATTAATCATATTATCAAATCATTAGGACTCTTTTTAAGTGAGTATATACATTTATGTTGGAAAGATGAGTACACATTTAGGAAGGTAAGATGAGAACAGAAAATATTCTGGTTTCTGTAGGAGGCATCAAGATAAAATCATATAGTGAAAAAAATTTTATAGGAAAAAAACATCACCCTAAAGACCATTGTGTTAAGAAGCAATGTACTACCTTAGAGATGGTATTATATAGCTATCTTAAATCATTATCTTAAGTAGCTAGCTATCTTAAAAATGATGTTTTACAATTGCTAAAGACTACTAAAGAAACTATTGGTCTAAGTCAAGAGAAAGGTATGAATAGACAAATATAAATAATTTCAATTTCAAAAGAGTAAGAAGGAAGAAAAGTAGCTGAAGTTCAAAGAAAATGAAGTGTTTACTAATAAATGTGGAAGGAAAAGAAGTTGTAAGGATGACTACAATGACATTTTTGGATTCTCTCTGCCAAATCATAAGTAATTTGTCAATGTCCATATTGAAATATTGGTCTACATCAAAAGTGGTACAGAAAAAATAATCATGTAATATATGTAAAATATGTATAAGTATGGCTAATGTTTCAAGTATGTGATCTAAGAAGTTAACAAACATCAATGTCTTAAAATATGTTCTGCTTTGGTCACTGTAGTTACTGAAATTACAAAGTACTAATTACCAAAAAACCATGGTCAGTAGCTAATAATACTATGACTTTCAGAATCTGTATCTTATAACCAGTTACCTCGCTCCCTCAAATACAACTTTTGGAAGATCCACTTTGTTTTCTTATATATTTTTTTCTTTATGTATGTATTTTTTCACATAATTAATTTCCAAGATACTCAAATGCTAGAGATATAAACATTTTGTAATAAAAACAGCTATTTTTCTTTTGCTTTGGAAACTAGAACCTACTTTTGTTTGTTTCCTAGCTTTTTAATAACTACATTTAATAAGACTTTTCTGGTAACCAAAAAGGACCAAAACTAGTTATCACACAAATTTTAAACAGGTTAAATCTAAAATTTTATACTTAAAAATAATTTCACTCTATCAAACTTTCAAAATGTATAATTATTTATAATTCAGAATTACTAACATTTTTGTAATACTTACAAAGAGAACCACCAATTTCACTGTATTTGCTCTGAAAAAACTGAATATGAAAACTAAGATATTGGTTCTCGAATGAGATTATTTATAACATAAAATGATATTTAAGAAATAAATATATAAGAAATATACAGAGGGATATTCACCATTTGGTTATATAAATCAACTAAGAAAACACTATATTATAAGAAAGTCTGCCTAATAGTGAGAGTACATATATACACGTATGTATACAAACATACATACATGAGTATTCAAACAGAGCTAAACCATTCTTATTACTTTAATCCATTTATTCTAACTCCCAGAATTGATTTATAACTTGAATTAACAGCATGCTAATACAAGAACAGAACACTTATGAGTCATTTAAAAATCTATACATAAATAGAAATGCTTCAATAAATGGACTGCAAAAGTCATCTCCAAGTCAAATGTTATATCAAATATTAAAATCAATCATATTAATATGAAGCAAATACTCGATATTTATTCAGAAATTATATTCCAGGCTATTTAAATAAAAATTTTAAAATTATGCTTCTTTGGACATCTAAAGTAAGGTAAGTCAGATGCAGATTTAGAAGTCACCTAAAGCTCACTGGTTCTACTTATACTTTTGAAGTTTCAAAGACTTTGAAGCTAGCATAAAAGCAGTAATTTCAAGAAAAATATGATAATCATGCCAATGGGTAAATGATACTCTTTTCTGCTCTGCCTCAAAGTAAGAAACCAAGGTCTATCTATTTAACTGATCAATTTGTCTCAAGAGAGACAAATTAAGCTAGCACTCTTAATATAAACTAATAACACAGTTAGTAGAAAGGTTAAAAGAATTAACTATGGGTGTTTATATATAACACAAACACAGAATAACAAAGACTATTAAAGTACTTAGATATGAACACAGTTCTAGAGAGTTCCAAAGGATGCTATTATGTTCACTCACTTGAGAGCAACAGGTAAGCCAATGTTTTGGGGGAAAACATTTTCCATATGTTAAAAACATCATTCATAGCCCTAACCGGTTTGGCTCAGTGGAGTGTCG